TTAGAACAAACGGGCATTGGTTTATACCGTGAAGACAAAAGTGTTTTTCTGGTATAGGGTAAATGTTATACGGTGTATACGTAAACTTTCAAATCTAAACATTCCGAAGAGACGCAATGGGCGACGAAGGGTTAGACAGCTTTATGCAAGAAAGCAGCAGAAGTTATAAACACTGTAGAGTGAAAAATTGTGCGGATCTCGCTTCCTTAAAGAGACAGACCCATGACATTGATCTTGAACGCAAGTTAGCCGCCAGCACTTTAGACAGGGAACAGAAAATGCTGATGGTGCAATTGAGAAGGATGAAAATGGAGCAGGAGATACATGCTCTGTCCCACCACTCTGTTTCCGGTAAGTAAACTATAGTTTTAAAGCGTGGAACCTAAAAAATCAGATTCTTAACTTTTTTCCGAAGTTAAAACTCTGGGGAGTTCAACTGCACCTTCACTTTAATAATATTTTACTATTTTGAACAATTTTATTGTTATATCATAAAATTTCTCAGTACTCAAATCGAACAACACTGAGTGAACAAAAAGATGAAATTAGCAGTAATCTATGCGAATTATGGAAAAAAATCTACAAAATTACAAAATACTAGAACATATGTTTACAAAGACAGTACATTGTCTATGAAGATGACGCTGGGTTTTTTACATTATTTATTCAATCAACCACTAGTCCGTCAAAATATTGATTGCTTTTGATGTTTTATTTTTATCTTATAAGCGATAAAGAAAAGTAATATACTTTACAATAAACGACAATCGCTAATCTATTGCCATTAAGAATGACACATCTAATAAAAATATAGATCTAGACGACAGAGTTAGAATACTGTATTGTCAAACCCAGTGAAAGGTGACTCGAAAAGAACCTCAAAATACCAAAATATTACGCACTATGCCCAAGTTCAAATTATTTCTTACAGTAAAGGTAGACCATCTCATTAAAAAACAAGAACACAATAGCGGTAAGTGTCCAAATTCGAATACGTCCGGTAAGTGTCCCAATCTATAAGGAGTAGGTAGCATAAACATGACTATTCAAGGACAGTTGATAATAAAAATAAAAATATCCATTGTACTATATCACTGAATCATTGACTTGTTGATTTCGTATGCTCTTTGGTACTATAAAATGCCCCGGCCATACCATAAACCCAGAACCCACAATATACAATAAAACGAAAATATTTACCAAAACTACCATCTAATGACGTCGGTCACCGTAGTAAATGTGACAATCCCATAGAAAAGGAGACATGAATTTTTAACTAAATGTCAACATGGTTATTACTTCACTCGTGAAGTCTTAATTGAAAAATCGTTATTATCCAATGCGACTCGATGAATCCTAACTACTGGTATGAAAGAGGTGGTGTGATGGCTCTCAATAGATACGTAATACAAAATCGATAGAAATACGTCAGTAAAAGAGGCGTTGTGTTTGTATAACCTCTCCAAACTTTACCGACTATGTTTAGTATCTGTTACACAAAGCACTAAAAGAAATAATATAAGAAAGAATGGCTCCCTAGGTTTGTACAGCCAGGAATAGATGTTTCAGTAAAGATCGTGAGTTAGTGTCCAAAACGAATAAATACTTCTCTATGTTTGTCAGTCTTCAAATAATATTGCACAAAAGAGAGCGCATATCATGATTTTTATACAATGACTCACGGCTAGTGGTAAAATAGGTTAATAGTAAGATGAGAAAATAGGCCCTTACAAATAAGAAAGCTGTAAACACCTACTGAAAAGGTATGTTTTTTAACGAATATTTTGACCACTTTTTCGTGCATTTCTCTTCAAAAGAAAGGAAATCTTATGCCATTTTCATAAAATAATCTTATTGGTGTTTGTTCAACTACTAAGGCGTATGTCTTTATTCAACACTTTTTCTTTTTTCTCTTCATTTGTTCATCAAGATGTCCCCGTGCCTACAAAAAAACTCCAAATCAACAAACAACAGTCTCTTGACTCAGAACCTGCTCCTCCCAAACCTGCTGACGTCAGCGACCCTTACCCCATCAGTTTTGGGCGCGCCCCTACGCCCAGCGACCGCGGGTTCAGTAGAGTCAAGGTGGAAGATGATGACGAAACTGGCGAGGAAAAAGATGAAATTAAAAACACAGTTGAGGAACTGGGTAAGGCTTAAAGAGTATCATCTGTTCCACTTTTGTTTATTATAGTATATACAAGTGCCATGTAAAAGTAGATTTATATGAAAATTAAAAAGATGAGCCACTGCAAATGAACCCCCCCCCCTGCATGAAATAACCTGGGCATCGTAGGTTAGGCAAGGTCTTTATTTGCTGAATAACAGATTTTTCGGATCTTAAGCAACAATACACATTGTTATGTAGAATCAATAAAAGCAATTCAATATGTTAAAGTGACATATAGCAACAATGTTAAAGGTGATCTGTGTGTTACTAATAATGATGATTGCTATATTTTTAAAATCAGAACAGTATTTATTTGTTACAAGAAATTATCAAACCCACACAATATGTTTTTTAAATCTCTATTGCAGGACTTAAATATGCTAGATCACGAGGTCGCCGTTTTTCCAGAGAATTTGAAGATCTCCATATACATACTGCAACGGGCTCTTTGCTCCCCCCGCTCAAAAAAATCCCTTATCGGTCAAACCTGCTTCCACCCATGTCTCATGGTGCCAAAACAGGCTCCTCGTCCGATCTTACCGTGTTACGAGAACTGGAACACTGGCCTGGAGATCCTGAGGCAATCAACTCCGTTCGTAGGAGCAGAAAAACTGTCGAGCAACAGCATAGTGACTTTATATTGAATCGAAGCGAGGAAGGTCACGAGCTTAACCACCACCAGGCTACTGCCGTAAAATTTGCCCAAATGCGCCTGGCTGGAGCAGAATTTCTAAAACGACACGAAGGAGAACGACCAAGAGCTGGATCAGTTGGCTCGAGGCCAGTTTCCAGGCTAGCCACGTCCCGCTGCGGGATAGCTACACCTTCACTCCGCTCTGGTGCCAGCACCCCGATAACGTCGCCAAGGAGTGAGATGAACACACCGATAGCGAGTTCCAGGTGCGTTACTCCAATGGACAGTACACAAAGAAACCATCTTGTGGAAGAAAGGTTCTTGCAAAAAGGTGACACGAGACCAAGAAGTCGAACTGTTAGTGGAACCTATGACCCCTCTTTAAATGTAAGACACAAACCGCCTCTCCCTGCCGAAGTCAATTTGTCGCATCATCAAATATCACCAAGAAGAAAAAAGCTGCGAGCACAACTATCAGGTGAAGAATCACCAGCTAAGGAACAGAGCTCATCTTCATCGTGGAGTCACAGCGATAAAATTGATGTGAACGACACGTCAAAGCTTGCAGAACAAGGAGCACGGAAAACCAAAAACAGCCCTTCGCCAGAGGGCGCCAATGTACACGACCAAACGCAACCAAGAAGTCGCTCAAACTCGTTAGGCTGTGAAGGTGGAGTTACCAAAAAGAAACTTCAGTTAACAAAATCAAACCCATTTCCCGTCTCATCCGGGTGCGATACTCCGGGGTCGTACCCAAACCAGAGAACCAAAAATGTGATCGTAATGAACGATAACCATCATCCACAATCTCCCGCACGCCACCGCAGACTGTTTCGCGTCTCCGGACTAGCTCAAGATCATCAGCGTGCGCCGACTCCGGGAGGCGAAACTCTTGGTCAGGCACCACAAAACGCCTTGGCCAACGGATCTCATGACTCCGAGGACGCTCACGTAAACACCGACCAAAATGTGCACATCACTACTCTTAAATCGCCAGTTAACCATAGACGTCGGTTGCGTCCGGCCTTGCATCCCCCAGAAGGATATCAATTTGACGACGTCGTAATACATGCCCATGAGGCAATTGAGAACGGCAAGAAAGAACATACTTCACAAGACTCGGGGAAAACGCGTCGACAGCTTACCCCTATTCCTGGGAGTGTGTCGGCTGAAAATGAAGGGTGAATGTCTGGTTGTATTGCTCCTTACTGTTAACCTTTTCTTTTCCATTTCTGCTTTCATTGCTCATGCTAATGTACAAGTAGTTATTTCTTATTTTACAAATAACGGCGAACCTTTCTGTCAATTCCCAACGCAAAACGGAACTAGTTACCGCCTTTCTGTTACGTTGTTGCTGTTGTTGTTAGCAAACTCATTTCTGTATAGTGCCATTAACTATAGCGCTTTCAAGTATGTTCTATTAATTGGTTCTCACCAATGAAAATGCCAATACAAGTTCTGAAAACGTCAACAAAAGAAACTAAAAATTACACTTAGCCTAAGATTTGGGCGATTTTAGTCCATATAATGTTCATACCTCAGTTAAATGTGCTACTGTATCTTCTCTGTTGTACAATGCTTCCTGTTGTTCAAGCTTCCCCTTTCATTTGCAAAGGTTACATTATCATTTCGATCTTTTGCATGCGTTATCTGTCTGCTTTTAGATACACGTTCGTCCCGTGGCATCAGAACGCGCTCCCCAGCGTCCAAGGTGACCGTCAGGTGTGAGTTCTCTGAACGACGAGGCGTCTGGCATGGAAATAAACACTTGCAAAGGATCCAACGGGTCATCCCTATAAAGATATATTCGTCACTGGTGGCGCAACGAGGGGCGTGAAGTTGAAGCATTTTGCAATACTGATATACATGAACACTAAGCAAAAATATAATTGCCCACGTGATTTATTTATGTAAAATACAATGAGTTACGGACTAAACCCACTTTGTATGAGAAAAGGTTACATTTACGTATGACCCATAATACTGATAATTGTTTGCTGTTTTTTCTTTTTTTTGCGTAGGGCGTTTACATTTTTGCTCAGAGTATATTGCACAATTAGATTTCTGGCAAAGCCAACAGACTCAATATGTAAATTATATGACACGTTTGATTTAATATCTGTTTACTGGAGGCCGTAAGAGCCATCGTTAATGATCCGATGAGAAATTAATTATATTATAAAATGCTTCCAAGTCTGTGATAAAATGCTACGAAAATAGGAACAACATAACGCACATGCATGTAAATCCGAGAATAGTTCCGTCTGGCTGTTTGACTAGTGGTTTTCAAACGTTTCATTTACGTATGCCTGAAGGAATGGATATTTTGTACGCAGTCCTCCATACGGGTCTTGGAGAACATTTACATGTAAACCTGTTTATTAATCCATTTCATGTAGTACACACAAAAATGAACACAGGGAAATCGGACGATTCGCCATTTATTGGCAAAACACTTAATTACGACGCTTCCTACTGCACATTGTATATGATGGCAAGGATCATTATGGCAATCCAGGGATACATCAATGTTTTAAAAACATTTAAGAGTCCAAACATGTGACCCTAGAAGATTATAAATAAAAAAGGTTTTATGAATGTTTGTCCATACCTTGCTTTGATATGACGCTTGGTTTACTCTAGCAAACTATTAACACAGATCTACATGTATTTCACGCATTAAAATGTATGACATAAATAAATAACTGTTCATGGCTCTCCAATACTGAGGTTGCCTTGTTTCTCAATCACAATATAAGTGTCACAATAACAATAAATAATAATAAATAATGATATCACGTCTACTATAAAATACAAATTAAATAAACATAAACATGCTAATATATCAAATGTGTTCGAGGACCAAAGTAACGGCAGCAATAAGCAATTTTGGTGTATTTTTAAACTGCATTTCGCGAAATTTCGCCGTACACAAAATAATGCAGTGGGAAGATCTAACAAACTAGGTAACTGCTACAGTAAACTCTTATTTCAAGGAACCACTCACTACAGAATTCTGTCATGATCAGATCTCTTGTTCGACTTACATACAACATTCGTGTTTTGTGATAATATGCAGAAAGCTCATTTGAGCTAAAAAAAATGTATGTTTGACCAATGTGAATAAAAACCTGAAACTTTAACATGACGAAAAGCAACCAAAAGTTGCATTAGTAGGCTCAAGGTCAGTTTTAAGATTAGTTCCTGCTGCGGGGCAGCAACACCTTCACTCTGATCTGGCACCAGCACCCTGATATCAAGACCTTGACTAGATACAAAAGCACACAAATACCCCAGTACTGTGTACCAGTAACTGGTAAAATAATATCCAAAAAGGCAGCTACCTTATCCATGCATGTAATGTTAAAACACTGAACATAAAAACTGTTCAGTAAAATTATCCTAATGAGGACAGTCATCCATTACTGCACATTTTTTTGTTCTGAAAAAAAATTAACACCAATTTTACAATGGAATAACTGCCTGTGCAGGTTAATATGTGCAAAATGTTGAACTGACAATACAAGTCTATTAAACATGAAACATGCTTTATATTTAAATATTAAACAAATAATTCTAAAAATACAGTTATCTTGGGGTTAAATGTTTAAGCACTGTTGGTAAATGACCAAAACTTATAAATTCATTTGACAGTTGAATATCAACTAACATACATTCTAATAAAAAAACTAATAAAATACATATTTTTGTGTGTATGCACTTACCTAATATATTGCGCTTACACAGGGGGCATGTCCTATTCTTAATTAGCCATGTGTCCACACATTTTGTATGGAATTCATGATAACATGGAAGAACGCGGATTTTCTGAAAGTAACTTTGGTATTATTTTCGTGCTGATCATTCTTAAAATTCAGAAAAATAAAAAATGTTTAATTGAAAAATGGTAAAAATAAATATCACCTTTAGGAAGATTGGCAAAGATTCAAAAGATTCCATTCTTATGCATGAAGCATGAAAATTCCTGAAATATGAAAAATTTGAATTTAGACATAAAACACATACCTGTCTGGGCAGAAAGACATCTAAGCAAACAGCACAGGTATCTCTCTCACTATCATCATGCTTTGAGGTATGGTAACGTCTAGTCTGCATTGACGCTACTGCAGTGTGTGCCAGCTTACGCAGGGCAACCTGAAACAAAAGTGATGCTTTGCAATTTACTAGCATATATTTACCAAAAAAGGTTGATATACAAGCACTTTTAAAGCACAGTTTCTAACTGTGGATTATTTTATTTCAATTTAACACCCATAACAACAACCCATTTCAGGAATAATCTCTGGCGATTGCATAAAAATATCTATCAAATACACTATGTCTCCCTGGTGATGTGGACAACAATACTATATACACGCTACCTCCACCTGGTGGTAAGAACAATTATATCATATACTACCTCCACCTGGTGGTAAGGATCCTCAGTTCTTCTCCTCCCAGCTTTGATCAGCAGCAGCAGGAAGAGTGTGGCAATGCTTGAGAAGAAGACACTCCAGAATTGGGCAGGGTCTGTCTGCAATTATGTATACTAATAAGCATTTATAATACATGAGATCGGGCAGAGTAGGGATGAATGTAGGAATTCTGTAGTCACCCAAAGGGAGGCAAGAGGCATATTTAAGTATATCTATTACAATATTATAAAACTTTATCTACTCTCCGTATAGCTGTTACATGTCCTGCATGTGTCTCAAGATAGTACAAAGCAAAGCTACTCACCATATTCAAGGTGACACTCACTGCAAAGTTTAAAATCAATATACTAGTACATGTGTGCATAATGTACTTCATACCTATTGTCATTAAAAAAACTAGTCAAATATAAACAAGTTTGAATATCTAAAAAAAAAAACACATGTGATAATGTTCTAGAGACGAGGCTGGTCCAGATACCTTGGTGTCATCCTCCTTGCCCAGGCAGACCACGCCCTCCCACTCATTGAAGGTAGCCACTCCACTGGATCTGCCACAAGTGGCCCACAGGGTGAGAGTGGAGATTTTCTTAAAAGTATGAAAATGATGTCCATAAATTCATGTACTGGTAGGCAACCAAATATTGTGTATATTTTGAATAACTTGTTTTTTTCTTCTTCTTTTGTTTATTTATTTATTTATTTATTCATTTTTTCATTTTCATATTTTTAATTGAACAATTTGGTGCCTGACATTTTACCTATAATTTTCTGATTTTGCTACGATAGTGAAAAGGGTGAAACAAACATCTGGCCATAAGAACAATTTAAACAGTTGAAAGTAATGACATTTTAAATATATTTTCTTACCTGGAGATCATGGATAGAGGTATTGTATGTTATCTGCACCAAAGCTTTGATTTTGCTGAAATGAAACATCATATTTGTAAATCAAAACCCACTAAATGTACTTACAAACTAAGGTGTGTTTTAGTATGGTTATAACTTGAAGGTATATGTACAACTATAATTATAGCATTTACATGATTAAAGTATCATATTTTATAGAAAATAATTGCACAGAAGACATTATCAAGACGCTACAGTAAATTTCAGATTGAAAAATGGAATTATGTACTTGTATATATACCAATGTACCTTAAACTAAACAATATGTAAGATATCAAGGAGTAAAGAAAGTTCATTTGCAAACATCTCCCTTCAAAAGAATAAAATATCTACCTTGTGAGAACTTCAAGAAAAGCAGTTATATTTTCAGCAGCATAAATCACAACTACAGGTCTACTGAACACTTGTGGCACGTCAAGCTGAAATGGAAGTTTTAGAACACCACTTAACCACATGTAGAGATGTGGAGAATGTGAAACTGAAAGGTGTGATATAATATAATATAATATAATATAATATAATATAATATATTATATTATATTATATTATATTATATTATATTATATTATATTATAATATAATATAATATAATATAATATAATATAATATAATACTATAGGATCAAGTGTGATGCAGTTATGGTAGAAAAAGACATAAATTCACAAGATTTTACAACCATAAATTACTGAGACCATATTTCAGGCTGTTTTGCACTGCGACTGGCAATGTTCAAAGTGTAAATCATTGCTAAAATATTAAATGCATACATAGATATCTCATTTAGAAAAGTTATACAAAACAGCCATGCAAACCTCTTTGATGATATTCCTATTAATAGTGAGAATTATAATGGCTGAGGCACCCAACAGCATGGCCTTCTTCACCTATAAAAAACAATGAATTTTAATTCTGACTTGAGAATGAGTAAATAACAAGTGCAAGTGAAATATAATAAATTATCCTTACACTTCATCATATAATTTTTTTTTTTTTTTACTTTTTTGACTTTTCAGTATTTTAATTTCAATGTTTGTTTTCTCAATTAGTACTGAGATAAGTCTCTCATACATTAAACAGCTTAAATTCAAGCATAAGAAATGTGCACATACACATACATATATGCATTCCTACAGTTTACCTTCTCAAGTACTGTGCACTGTGTATCATTGACTGCATACGTGTCATCAACGTTGAGAGCTGAGTAGTCTAACACTGCTATCCACTCATGAGCACTCTCCTGGTGTGGTGAGGAAGAGTCATCAAGTTCACAGCGAACAGGGACCTTAAGTGAGAAAACGTTTAGGGTAACGTAAGATAGATAAAATATCTAAAAAAAATCTGGGGGGGGAGATGTAAGAATTAAATATGTCGAATTACTTTTTGGTGGTTGCGTAACTGCACATTCCAAAAACACTTGCACGCGATCAGTCATTTTAATATCATAACTGCAATTGCAAAAGAAGGCTCAACCTTGCTTTATGAAACTGAACTGGGATCATCTTAAATGTATATGGATTTTACATACCTGTCTAAGCCGCCCTTTCACATTTTTCACCTCACCGACTTTAGTAAATGCTCCCCTCATTTTCATGCCATCTTGTTCCTTCAGTTTACCACCCGAATCTTCGAGTTTGTTGACAGTGACATCAGCATTGCGGTCTGCATTTGTAGGCACCGCTATCAGTATCAAAAGTGCACAATTCAAAAGGTGCATATTTTTCACATTAGAAGAAGAACTCCTAAATATAGCCAGGTTGGTTAAAATTACCAACCCGACGTCCACCATGTTTATTTACACTACATGCCCTTTCCTTCCTCTAAATATCAAAGATTCAATGCCAAATGGCAGGTGCAATTACTACCAGCTGCTCTGATACAATGTACTAATTACATCATTACAGACTGACGACAAATAGCTAATTGTTCAGTTTAGGTATAGGCGATAATTGGATTAAGTTTACTTAGGTGTGCAACAAAAGTTATGCAATATTTCTCAATAACAAATGAAAAAGTGGTGATATTGCAAGGGAATTCTTGAATCAACGTCTAATAATTTTGCAATAATAGTTGGTTTAATTTGGGTGTAGCCTACTACAACCACGCTGTACGAGTGAAGGTTATTCTGAAAACAGCTGGTACTATATGTATTTATAACCGGTATACCTACAAACATGTTGCTCAATGTAGGCCTTACGTGGGGATGAAAAATTTTGCATTTTTGCATATTATCTTCAAAGTATACGCCTGCATGCGGTAGACCTACTGTACAACCACACAGTGTTTGATTTACATTAGGTAGAGTTCCATACAGATCATACGCGACACTTTGATAGAGACTAGGTGGTGTATAATGTTCTGCTTTATGTAAATTCACTGTTTGCCTCGGAGAGAGCCAGTTTAACTGAAACACTACGAACACTGATGAGGATGGCCCAAGCTTTTGTTATCATAGGCCTACAATCATAGGCACGAACCTACAAATTTTGGGGCAACTGCGATAATTCACACATTCTAACAAAGTTACTGTAACATTTGAAACAATTTTATTGCAAATATATCTATTTCACACAAGCAAAAACATAACAAGACGTGAGTTACTGGCAACAAATGTCACTGACATCCAGCCTCTTCAACTCAAAGTTAACACTAATTTGGAATGGAATGTTGCATTGCTTTCAGTAAGTTTTCCCAGACATAATAATAAAAAATCAACTTAATAAGCGTGGAATGATTATCAGCCCTACTGTGTAAAAATTAAAAGAAATAAAATATCATTATGGCACTCTGAATAACCGTGAAGCCATTAGAGATGTGAAGGTAAAAAAAAGTGTTGCGCGCGATTGTCCATCCGCATCAAATCAGTAGGTAAACCCTCTACCTACATGTAAGTCCTTGATCCTCTTTTGTCGAAAAAAAGTCGAATAAACGAAAGTAGTAAATTTTCATCCCCAGTCCACTTCTGAAAATCGCTGGTTCGATATTAAATTTCGTTGTCATCTATTTTGTACTTCCTTCGTCTTTTCGATTAATCACCCATTTGCGGATCAACTAACGTGCGTTCACCATTTTGGTGTGGGCGTAGATCTCCTGCTGGAGCCGGGCCGGTAGCGGTGGCACTCACAGTCACGGTAGCGGAATATTTTAAAACAGTGGTCTCCGTTGGTGCTGTACTCTGTGACAACTAAATGTCCCTCCGGGCCGATGGCGCACGTCTGAACAGACCCTGTCAAATCCGGTGGCCCCACAATTTGGAGAAGTAATTGGCCTCTTTCAGAATACACATTTACGGTGTGGTTCAACCTGTCTGCAATAAGAATCTGCCCGAGCGGGTTCAGACAAACTCCAGCTGGAACAGCCGCAAGCCCGTCGCCGTTAGCTTCTGTGCGGAACTGGTAGAGGAGATCTCCAGCGTAGCTGTATGTCCTAACGCGACAATTGACCGAGTCGCACAGAACCACCTCGTTTTTATTATTTACGGCTACGTGAATGGGGGAGCCCGACATGGATGTTTTAGGCGGTTTCCCACCAACTTCGAATCTACTCAAGAGCTTGCCACCACGCCTGTACACTTCAACAGTTCTGGAGGCAGTGCCGACCACGGTGTTATAATATATATCACAGGCAACGCTATATGGTTCATCCACAGTTGGAAATGAATACTTAAATCGACCTTCGAGTGTCAGTACCTGAATTCGCTTGTTCTTTTTATCGGCGACAGCGATGGTTTGGTTGGGGAACACGGACACTCCCGTTGGCTCGTTGAATTGTCCTTCCCCGCTGCCAAGACTGCCAAAAGAAGATTTAAACACACCAAAGTTGTTGAAGATTTGTATGCGGTGATTCATGGTATCGGCAATGACGATGTCGCGCTCATCCGTGATAGTCAGGCCTCTTGGGTAGCTGAATTCTCCCTTACCACGCCCTCTAACACCGACATTGAAGAGCAGTTTCTGCGGCCTGAAAAATGTTAATATAAAAAAATGATTTAAAAACATCTTAAAATATTCTTACGTTAATTTCCCTTATATTAATCAAAACATCTAATGTGGAACAAGAGCTCATCACAATCAAGTATCCCAACATCACCAACGAGACTCCATGGAAATTTAAGTGACTACTACTTGGACATAATCGTAATTTTGTCCATGATCAAATTACAGACGATATTCAAATAAAACTCATGAAATCTACTGATATTCTCTAATTAACGTTGTCAAATTGAATTAAACAAACAAGTCAACAAAAACAAAATTGAGGTCTCAGGATTCTTGAAGTTAGTTATTAATTCCTTCAAAGTCGGACAAAATTAGTTGTAGCATTAAAGGACTGACAAGAAATCTAATTCAATACATATATTCAAAACATAAGAATTAGATATGCACTAACTACTAAAAATAACCACTAATCAGTACCTACTGCCTAAACTACACTAGCTCTGGAAATATAAAGGCAGAGTCTGGAAGAGAATTCGAAGTAGATAGATAAAGGTTGGAGAGGGGTGATGTCCGTTGCATCCAAGAAACAAGACGACCGTCACTTTTTACAAAAGAAACTAATCTAACTGGTCTTACAACGTTTGTAAACACATCTTTTGCTTTTCTATTTGATCAAAAAGATACAGGTGGTGGTTTACAAACAAAGTAAGAAAGAAAACCGCCAAGCGTGTTGCAAAATTGATTTTAATTTAATGTGACAGAAACGACGAGGTCACATTACCTACTTTTGACAAAATTCACCATTTAACAAAAAAGACAGGAATAAAATGGCTACATTTTCTGTTGTTAGATAAACCAGAATTTGGCAACACACTTTTCTCCCATTTCACTAATTTTTACCTCCACGAGTACGGGCGAAAAAACCTGAAATTATAATCGTTATTGTTTTGTGAAATTAATGTGCAGTGCGTATGGTGTTCTGTTTTTTCATGCAAGGATACTTGTCATAAGTATTCTTACTTCATTCACATGCGTGCAACTCAAAGCAAATAACCAAGCATTGCTATAAAAAGCAGTGACATGTTTTACATTAAAATGTGAAATAAAAACCGGTCACATTACAGTGAATCAAGTTGTGATAAATGCGTTAGATGTGCCATGCTTGTGCTGTTAACGTGCAGAAAACACTGTGACCTGTTTGTCTTGAAGGTATGCTCAATAAAATTATTTGTAACATAATATTAATGCATTGTTTTTTATGGTTGGTTATATTGACCCACCAATCATAATTTAACAGATCAAACGACATGCCCCAGAGGTATGCACATATCTGGTTCATATCCCAAAGGTAGGTGCAGATATTTAATAGTCTGTGAAATATGCATTTTGAAATTCTAGTCGATGAAAGATACTGACTTTTTCATGCCTTCCTCTTCTTTCTCTTTAGCATTCAGTTCCCTCTGGCTGCGGGCAGTGTCGCTCAGACCGCGTGTTAACAGGTACGCCTCCCACAGCTTTGAGTCTGTGTACGCCTTTACCACGGGCTCTCGGCAATCGTGAACTGAAACAATTAAATGAGATAGAACCCTCTTTATTTCTCCTCCTCTCTTCCTCTCTATTTAAAGAACTATGTAATATAGTTAGTTCGTTCTCCCTCTCTCCTCTGCGTGTGTGTGTGTGTGTGTGTGTGAGAGAGAGAGAGAGAGAGAGAGAGAGAGAGAGAGAGAGAGAGTCTTTGATCGGTATGGCGATATTTCATGACATCATACTTGCATGCGATTTAATTTTATTTAAATTGAACAAACCAATTCTGCTTTGGATTAGGACGAAACATCTTCCCAGTATTTTTATATTAGTCGAGACGATTGGGTCTTACCTTTTTCGTTATGTATAAAACAAAAAAACTGTTATTCCAGATAACTTAAAAATTGACCAACAACACTGAAACCAAAACTAGACATGACAGAAGTCCATGGTCCACTTACCAAGCGCTCTTTCTGCTTTAAAGACGTGGGGAGCACTGTTCCTGTACAGGTCTTTGTACGACGAACTGGCTGTACGCAGGTCTGTCTGGGTGAAGCCATACCCATACATGCGGTATTTGGACAAAAAGTCCACCATCGTGCCAACCCTGAAAAAAATATCTTCATTGTGCCAATATGAATTTCTTTTATAGCCAGTTCCCCACTCCACCTCTCCACATCCAACTTAGGCCTACTTAATTTCAAATTAGGCCCTAACCTGGGAATTAGGCCTACAATTAGTAGGCCTATCTTTAGGCTACTTAGTAGAGATTGTTCTACACTGGATTATTTTTCATACCAGCTTATACTAAAAACGTTGAGATATTTCGTAGTAAGACCCAAATTATGTTAACGATATTCTAACGTGAAAGGTAGCTAGGTCTTCATTTGGGCTATTAGTAGGCCACCTCCAGTACCTACACAGAGAGAAGGTAAATAATAGGAGCTAGTGGTCTTGGACCTAGCGCCGTATTCTTGGTCTTGTGCGGCTTGTCATTTAGCTTACAGTGAATAAATCATATAACAAACTTATGAATAAAGTTTTATGGTGTCAACACAATAAAACTCACCTTGTGCTCTCCTGCACTCAGTGTAGTTAATCTGAACTCAGTCGGGGCAACACTAGTTTATGTGCGCCGCCATCTTGCCAACCCTTAGCAACGCGTAACTAAGAACGCCGGATTAAAGGGCTATCAGCAAAAGCGTACATTGATCTTGACTGTAAATGAGCAAGAAGGTTTTAATAATTTACTCTAGTGTAAGCGGTTGCAAATTAAAATGATAAACGAACCATAATACTTATATCTGTATATGTATGGCATTTATTTTGGAATAGACCTATATTTATATCCACCTAATTTTTGAAAGTGTCTAGGTACTAGGTAGGCCCTACTAGAAGTAATAAACGAGTAACTGAAATAATTTTAAATCACCCGAGCCTTTTTTTTCTGAAGACAACATAAATCTTGCCGGCCTATGGAGATTCTAATAATGTGATTAACTGTCTGTGAAAAAAATGACTGTATTTAATGGGTAGGCCTATTTGCCCATAAAACAACGTTTGCTTTTAACCTGCATTAATTCGTTAAGTTAAGACTTCAATCCCCAGTTACCGTTAAAAAAGAGAATATTCTTTTCGTGTCAGTTGTCGGTGAGTTATCGCTTGCACCCTCCAAAATTTTACTTTAAGTCGACAATCTATCAGCAGGCCTACCCTAACCTAGCTTACATCTAAATCCAGAGGCTCAATTTTTCGCATGGGCAAACCTACCGTCACTACTGTGGCCAATATATTTTAAAGGTCTCTATTGCTTCATTGAAGATAAATTCCCTGGCCTTAATATGCAAGCAGTAGTTTCAATGGGAAGAAGCAAACTTGAAAGGGTGCGCCTTTTTATGTACATACGTCAGGCAAAACATGAAAAAAAATGATTGAGAGGAAAGCCGATGCTCAATTTTCATTCAGCAGGCTTCTCCGGTTATCTTGCATTTCATTCTTAACTGAACGTTATAGTCCGTGTGTCCTGAAACCGCATTTCACATCATATTACTGAGAATCAATACCCAACCGACACATTTCCATGTACAACCAAACACGTACTGTGGAGAAGGCTTAAAACGCCAGTGAGGTCACGTGACGGCCTGAATACCTTTGACCCCGCAATACTCACCTGTGCGGATATTGTATGCATTCAACAGAGCGCTTAATCCTTACACTGGTGCCTTTGTTGTGTCAGTCATCGCCCGCTGGTACTTCCTATTAAGCGTCATTGGAACATTGTCTCTCGGGGTGAAGTAATATAGGGTAAATTTAAGGTGGACTGTGTATTATCATATACACCACCCTAGCTAATATCCACCTAGCGTTCATAGCGGAATAGTCAAGTGCCGCCGATTACTCATCACGATAGCGTGGGTTCGCCGGTGCGTCCTGACGCTCACTGTACACACAGAGACGACAGAGGCTTGAGTTTCGGAGACCAGCAAAGCACAATTTACTTCGCCAATACAGCAATCATGGACAGTAAAATAACTACTTTACTGGGAATTGTCAGCATATTGCTATGTGTTGTCCTCGGGGACGAGACCTTGAAGACAGTCGACGAGAAAGCGCCCGTTAAAGCTAAAACGTAAGTACCAGCGACTAGTAAAGACGTGTCACCTATTTCTGTTGTCACACTATCTGCTTTATTTTGTGTTGACAGACACTCTGGGTTTGGGGACATGTGCATCCAGTCTGAATGATGACTATATCTAGAAAACGTGAAAGGTCTGTTCCATGAAGCAATTTCATAGACTATAATTCCTAGGTTTCAGTTACGGCCTTGACATTACTACACAGGTTTAAAGAACTCAATATGTCGCGCTGTGACATATAGAAAACTGTTTATATACTAAGGGAATATCTCCTCTACGTTGCATACGTCTACCCATTAGGAAGTCCTCTTTTGCCGCCCCCACGGGGAGATAAAAAGCGCAAAAAATGATTGGCCAACATAAGTGCATTGGCTCGGCGTTCGTTAAGGGATACGTGTTATCTCAAAATGTACATTTCTCTTTAAAAGGAAATAGGTCTTTTTTGTTTGCTATCCAGTCGACCTAGCATGATTGAATGTAAATTTATCAGACAGACGGCAGACTGTTAGGGTTCCGACATTTGCGACGAGGAGGTCGGGCACAAAGTAAAAAAACAAGATGTCCTTATGACGAGACGAGCACTGAAATATCACGTAAAATTAATTTAAACTATGTAAAGCTCAAATCAATGACAATGGACCTTTACGTGCTTCAGCACATGGAAATATCGTAAAATGATAGAAACCATACAGATTTGCAAAGCTAAGATGCTGGCATTTCTTTGTTTCCAATGCTAACTCTTTCCTAAGTATTGGCATATTCAGTCCACTAGTGCCGGCAATGGTCTACACTTCTACAATATACCAATACTGTATTGGTTTGCATGTTTCTGTGAGCATTTTGTAATCAAATCATCCATATAAAAAAGTAAAGATAATTCACCTTCAACTCCGCAATATTCGATAAAATGACAAAATCCTCACCACAGAACATGACGTTTGTTTGTTACTAATTTAAAAAAGTGACCACGTGCTTAAACTAAGAGAGACGCAAAGGAGTTTATTAGATATCTGGCACCGACAATCATTTGGTTATATGTTGTTTAATATAGTGTGTTTTTGTAATTTCCTGGCGTGCGTTGACGTTAACGGCACATATTGCCTTTAATCCAGTGACATTTTATAGCACTTACATGGATATCAGAAAGTAGACAAAAATGTTCACGCTCGTGTGGAACCGAAAAATTAATCACTTTTCATATATCATGAAGACGGAAAGACAAAAAAGCTTTAACGTTGTCTCATCACGTTCACGTTTGCTTTGTCCATTAAGTTGCTGGTTTGTGGACTGAGGAAACATTAACGTGTGTAAATGTTGTTTAAAACATCGATGGACAATATTAACGTCTGCACGCCAAACTGACCGCGCTTCCAAACCACAAACGTCTAATGTACAGCACGAACGCACATTGTTGTTTACCCTAGGCATCAATTGTTCTCTCTATACCGCATAAAATCCAACTCGTTATGAGATCGAAATACTTAGCTATTATTTTGGGCTGTAAAGTGTCGTCATATAACTCTATAAATGAGTGCTGGACAATTACTTGGCCGACAAGCATTGATCGGGGAAATAAATTTATTAACTGGGATGCCCATTGTTGTCGTAGACAGCAACGCACTGTGGCAACGATTTCTGCAAGCACATTATCAATTAAAATGTTTATGAAAACCAGCTTTTCTGTTGAAGATCGAATGGCAGAATCTATTGAACACAAACACGTATTAAGTTGGTATCTTAGTATTGTGCTATCGTTTTGTCCGTGTGAACTCTGACCATATGGTACACGTGTTGACATTCGATTTCTTGACACAATGATTCCACAGATGTCAGTTAAATTCATAGGAGAATAGTTTTGATGTATGGTCCATCCTCTGAATGGGCGTACAGCCAAAACAACTGAGAACAAACAGAGAACACTCTGGGACTTACGAATCTGACACCAGAATGGTTGTGTCACTACAAAAAGATGGTTAAACAGTGACAATATTAAATAACATTATCCCTACAAATAAGTGAATACGCCGCTTTTTTATATCTTTAAATTATTCATTTTCAACTTTCAAAACTGACATTTTCGTCTTGTGAAGGGCTTTGTTTCATGGCAAGAGCTATATTGTTTGTTGACTCACATCTTTGTATGCTAGCTGTATGCAGCATCATGTTACTCCATTATTCAAATTTCTTACTAATTATGTTAATCGGAAAAATACCCCAGGGAGGCAATTCAAATACATGATCACACAGAAAAGTGTTCTCTGGACGCAAAACTAGAGCTACTGGGAACACATCAGGTTACTAGATTTGACATTAAACTGCGAGCGATAGACGACGAATGATGATCTCAAGTGACAAACACATGCTGCTGCTAACACGCAAGCTGTCCCCTTTTACCTAAGCGTACTTGTCCGACTTGCGTTTTCTATCTTTTGTTTTTGGTTTTATTATGGAAATGTTTCTTTGTAGCATTCATCTTTCATTTTTGTTTGTGAAGCGTGATGTTTGCTTTGCGTTTTTATTTTTAATAAATCACATTTTCAGTTTCTTTCAACTGGTTTATTTACTATATATGCATACATAAATTTTTGCGTAAATTATTCGACTGCCATGATCTCTCTCTCTCTCTCTCTCTCTCTCTCGCTCTCTCTCTCTCGTCAATCACGTCTCTGCGGTCTCTAAGGTACTTCAACCCTTATCAGTTATGTTAACCTTAGTGATTTGGCTCCTATCACATTGACAGTCCTGGCTACACACATTTAACGCGTGGGCATCTATATTTGAGAGTCGGTAATCATTATCCATGGTGATCTAATATTAGTTGATTGTCATCAGCTTTATCTGACCTCTTTTGTACATGACTGTAGTACAAGTGGCACAAGTGCTGTGTAAAATGTGCTCTTTAACATGTCAGTTTTGAACTAAGTCCCATCTTTCTGCAGTTCGGCAGATGGACACCTTTAAAACCACGGATGTATCGGAAATATTCCAAACATGATTCACTAGGTATATGCATCAATTTACACAAGTATTCACTTTGTGTACTGAATGTGACCCATGAATCCAGGATATGCGACATTCCACGTTATTTCTCAATATTCGAACTCCATTCGCCAACACACAGTTCAACAGAGCGATATCATGACGCACCTTTTGCGGTCGTACTTCCATTCGGCACTATTTTACCCAAATTTACTAGAACTGTCAATAAAATGAATCACAGATTATCCCCGTCCCCATAAATAGTTAATTACTCTGAGTTCATTAATAAACATGGTTCTTTAATATATCCAATATGGCACACTGCCTATGTGCGCTGTGTTAGGGTGTGTCAAATATGCCATAAAGTTATATTGGCAATTATATTGAATGTGTGTTTTCTGAGTGCACATTGTATAAAGTCCTGCTGCCTTTGTTCCAATGTTCATTATATTCAAAAAATGGGTGCTTTAAAAACTTTGGAAAAATCGCACGATGTGAATGATATTTTCCCCTGAGAATATCAGGGCGTTGAGATCCTGTTCAAAAATTAATATTGTCTTGCGACAACGAAGATATTTAACCTTTAGATCAGGGTAGGTTGTAATGCAAAGCGTAACGGTCCGCTAGTGATGATGGAAAGATCGATAACTTTTACGCTATCACTTAACGTGGCCAAATGTACAGTGACGCCAGATATACTTTAAAGCCTGTGATCGCCAGAGACATAAGACGATCTTCAAAATATCAGGCCGTTTTCCTTATCACATATATAGATACATTAAACCAATGCTCGTCTTGTGTTTGGCCAACTCCGTCCCCAGCATGTTGGCCCTCCAGTATCTCTGTCTTTTTTCAGATACACGTAAATATACTCCCTATATAAATGCCTTTGTACTCAAAGTATACTTTCTACATGTAAAAAGATCATTTGGAAGCAGAGATGCACTGTGAAATGTGCTAGTGACTATTTTTTTTATGAAAACGTGATATCATTACCCTCTACCAGGGCTGCAGATTAATGATGTGCATTTTTCTCCAGCAGAGAATCGTGTCATAAATTAGCTAGAGGCATATCTATGAATATCTAGAAAAAAATCCTGGTTAACTCTGGTTGAGGGTATGATATCGTGACGGTTCCACAAACTGGCTACACTGAGTGATGTCGCTTTGTAATATACGATGTATAATGTTTCCTAGTTAGCGAAGACATGGCAAAATATATGCAAATCAAAGGAGGGTTGAGCAGTCTGATCATTGATCAAACATCAATCGATATGACCGCTTCCACTCTCTTTACATTAGTTTCATCATATAATCACGGCAAACGACTAAGTAGAAATTTTGTATTTTCACCATCCCAATATAAAATATAAAATGCTGACACCAGAGCAATGAAATATGACGATAGACCCAGATTTGCATGGGTCTTGACAACAGCCACTTCTTTGCGCAAACGAAAAATGCGGGTAAGATGAACTCCGTGTGAACTTCAGCAGATTATGAAGGAAAGTTAACACGTTGATTGCATACTCAATACATTTCAATCATTCTTCCAGCACTTAACGCATCCTCGACTTGCCTTCTGTAAGTTAAAGGTGAGTCACCACCAGCATCCATTGATTCCAGGGTCGTTTCATTGGCCTTCTCGGATAACCAGACAAGCCTGTGCTAACCAATCCCCTGTAGTCAATATTGCGAAACGGACAAACTGCACTAGTCATATACAGTTTTATTCAGTGAGAGAAAATTTAAAAAAACATTTCCCTCTTAGTATTTTTTTTTCTAACTGAAAAAAAATGTTTTCTCAATTTTATTGTATCTTTAAAACAATTGGAGATTAAGAGTAGCTGTGAAATTATCAAAATAACAATCCACTACATGCTCATTTAATCTATTTCGAATTAAGCCTTCTCCCTTCAACCCAAGCACTTTCAGAAAAAAAATTCTATCATGCTATAAGACAAATGGTAGTAAAAGTATGACGGCAAGTCATTGCGTTGTGATAAATGTTATTTCCATTTTTGTTTTCGTCGAAAAATCTTTGCAGGTAATTTTCTGACAAACGAGGACGCATGCGCCAAACTAAACCATTTACGTGCTGTTAAATGGGTGGCTGAATTCCAAATTATTAATTAGAATATATTCATGAATCACTTTCTCTTTCAAGTAAATGGAAAATTCGTTTAACATGCTACGTGCCATTTTGACGGAAAGCTCTCAAAGCCTTCCGTGCTAACATTAACAGAAAAATATGAAAACCGTGGTATCTCAAGCTTTAAATTTATGTGGTTAGTTAGACTCCAGATAAATGATCTCGGTAGTACAATCATTTGTATCCTCTGTAACCATTCCCTCGTGTGTTATTTTGAGAACGGCATAGAGCATTTTAATAGATATGTTTTAACAGAACCACTACTTAGCTTTAATTCGTGCATAGTCAGACTACAAAAGCCTATATCTTAAATCGTTGTCAGATAATGTTTAATTAAAAATATATATCTTTTAAATAAAATCTCTTACTTAATGGATAACCATGCATTGAGCCACGTTCTATCTACTTTGCTCATCACGACATGTAGTTTGTTGTCATAACCTACATTACGAACCTGGGGCTTGTTTCATGAAATCTATTTTGTTAATTTTTCTCGTTTGCTATTTCTCCGTTTCAAATCCACGATCGAAATTTAGCGATGGCGACTGTTACGCCAATCGACTGTACACGCCGTCTTTGAGAGACCTGTCTCTGAACCATATCAATTTGCGTCTAATGACAGGCCTGGGTCATATCGCAGTCATATTTGAGTTGTAAATCATATCTTGGTTGTTGTCGACTATTCCCATGACCAAGATGCTGCCTCGATTGTCTGTCGTTATTTGTTGCCTTTTGGTCATCCTAGTATCTGATCCCAGATCAAAACTTAATGGACAGCGGTCTACGGCTTAAATGGATTATGGAAGTTGGATCTATTTGTCTTTCAACACATTTTGGTGATATCACTAAGCGATAGTTGACATTGATTCTAGGCCAGGTGTGCAATGTATTTGTATGTAAAAAAAGCCTGATAGTATCTGGCCATAAACAGCTTTCACTACTTTGAGGCACGAGCATCAGATTTAATGCTTTGAAATTTGATCGTATCTGGTTTTATGGAGCACACAATAGGCGGTGTTTGCAGGGAATGGCCCATTGCCGACGAATGTGCCTGGCGCTAGAATTAAATCTTTTTTTTTCTGAATTTCGAATGTATATTCAATGATATAAAAAAATATAAAATTGTACTGTAAATGAACGAAGCAACCTTGATATTGGCCAATTTTGGGCACCAGACATATTATGTATAGACTTTGTTTGCGCTGTGCATGACACTGACATGTAAAAATAAATTAGAGCAAGTCAGAGATTTTGGTTCAGATATTTGCACAATCTGTAACTCCAAAGCGGTCGATAAGCTTCCAATTTCACTAATTCAATTTTGAAATAACAAGAGATCGTCCATTAACCTACATTGTCAAATATATTTGTCCCCATTGTTTGATGCTGTAGGTCGCTATAAGCTTTTGACTGCAAAGTTGAGAATAACTTGATGCTTCAAAATACGCTATTTATTTTATGCTTTTTATCAAGAAACAGTACGTGCGTTTAGCCATTGACTGAGTATAAAATGGTGCGTGTAAACTAGCGGTAAACCTTGTATTGCATGACCTTTCCTACTTGTTTGCAGCAAACGTGTTTCATTCACATGTAGTTCTGTCACTGTCATCATAGTTGCACCTTTTCATTTCTTGCCTTGGCAATTCTCACTTCTTACATAGTTTCAAGGATTCAAGCCTCAACTGCGCAGTGGATATGCACATAATTCGTTTTTCTATACTCACATATAGGATGACATAATGTTTAAATCTTTTGTTATTAATTTTATTTCTATATTTAAAGTGTTTCATCCCTTTTCAAAGAAACTTAATTTCTTTCTGTGTGTGCAAAATATATTTTCAAGGTGAATGATTCGAAGTGAAAATGAAAGATAAAAAACATTAAATCATTTACACACAATGACATTTTATCTTGCAGATGTTACTGTCAGATAGCCACGCAGTCGGGGCAGGTTCTCCATGACTTGGGCGGGATCGCTTCTTATGACGTCAAAACGATGCCCTGTCACGAGATGCGAGTGAAGTGTAGAAAGGACTGTGACGCCGCCATCCGGAATGCTACGACCACGCCAAGCGAACCCACCGTTCCGCTCAAGGGGTACTACAAGGGTAGAGTATTTGGGATGAAACTTTGCCGAGCATGGGACCAGCCCACCACCAACAAGGGACTAACTCTTATTTCCAAGAGTGAAGTTGACGAGTCTAACTGTGTTAACCACGTCAAAACTCGCTACGGACATTGGAGTGCAAAACTCTGCTGCGGACACCATGAAATAAAAGTGAGCGATCAAATCTTCGTGGCCTTTGTCTGGAAGCCGNATTAAAAAAAACCATTCCCCTCTTAGTATTTTTTTTCTAACTGAAAAAAAATGTTTTCTCAATTTTATTGTATCTTTAAAACAATTGGAGATTAAGAGTAGCTGTGAAATTATCAAAATAACAATCCACTACATGCTCATTTAATCTATTTCGAATTAAGCCTTCTCCCTTCAACCCAAGCACTTTCAGAAAAAAAATTCTATCATGCTATAAGACAAATGGTAGTAAAAGTATGACGGCAAGTCATTGCGTTGTGATAAATGTTATTTCCATTTTTGTTTTCGTCGAAAAATCTTTGCATGTAATTTTCTGACAAACGAGGACGCATGCGCCAAACTAAACCATTTACGTGCTGTTAAATGGGTGGCTGAATTCCAAATTATTAATTAGAATATATTCATGAATCACTTTCTCTTTCAAGTAAATGGAAAATTCGTTTAACATGCTACGTGTCATTTTGACGGAAAGCGCTCAAAGCCTTCCGTGCTAACATTAACAGAAAAATATGAAAACCGTGGTATCTCAAGCCTTAAATTTATGTGGTTAGTTAGACTCCAGATAAATGATCTCGGTAGTACAATCATTTGTATCCTCTGTAACCATTCCCTCGTGTGTTATTTTGAGAACGGCATAGAGCATTTTAATAGATATGTTTTAACAGAACCACTACTTAGCTTTAATTTGTGCATAGTCAGACTACAAAAGCCTATATCTTAAATCGTTGTCAGATAATGTCTAATTAAAAATATATACCTTTTAAATAAAATCTCTTACTTAATGGATAACCATGCATTGAGCCACGTTCTATCTAACTTGCCCATCACGACATGTAGTTTGTTGTCATAACCTACATTACGAACCTGGGGCTTGTTTCATGAAATCTATTTTGTTAATTTTTCTCGTTTGCTATTTCTCCGTTTCAAATCCACGATCGAAATTTAGCGATGGCGACTGTTACGCCAATCAACTGTACACGCCGTCTTTGAGAGACCTGTCTCTGAACCATATCAATTTGCGTCTAATGACAGGCCTGTGTCATATCGCAGTCATATTTGAGTTGTAAATCATATCTTGGTTGTTGTCGACTATTCCCATGACCAAGATGCTGCCTCGATTGTCTGTCGTTACTTGTTTCCTTTTGGTCATCCTAGTATCTGATCGCAGATCAAAACTTAATGGACAGCGGTCTATGGCTTAAATGGATCACGGAAGTTGGATGTATTTGTCTTTTAACACATTTTGGTGATATCACTAAGCGAAAGTTGACATTGATTCTAGGCCAGGTGTACAATGTATTTGTATGTAAAAACAGCATGATAGTATCTGGCCATAAACAGCTTTCACTACTTTGAGGCACGAGCATCAGATTTAATGCTTTGAAATTTGATCGTATCTGGTTTTATGGAGCACACAATAGGCGGTGTTTGCAGGGAATGGCCCATTGCCGACGAATGTGCCTGGCGCTAGAATTAAATGTCTTTTTTTCTGAATTTCGAATGTATATTCAATGATATAATAGAATATAAAATAGTACTGTAAATGAACGAAGCAACCTTGATATTGGCCAATTTTGGGCACCAGACATATTATGTATAGACTTTGTTTGCGCTGTGCATGACACTGACATGTAAAAATAAATTAGAGCAAGTCAGAGATTTTGGTTCAGATATTTGCACAATCTGTAACTCCAAAGCGGTCGATAAGCTTCCAATTTCTCTAATTCAATTTTGAAATAACAAGAGATCGTCCATTAATCTACATTGTCTAATATATTTGTCCCCATTGTTTGATGCTGTAGGTCGCAAAAAGCTTTTGACTGCAAAGTTGAGAATAACTTGATGCTTCAAAATACCCTATTTATTTTACGCTTTTTATCAAGAACACACAAATGTACGTGCGTTTAGCCATTGACTGAGTATTAATTGGTGCGTGTAAACTAGCGGTAAACCTTCTATTGCATGACCTTTCCAACTTGTTTGCAGCAAACGTGTTTCATTGACATGTAGTTCTGTCACTGTCATCATAGTTGCACCTTTTCATTTCTTGCCTTGGCAATTCTCACTTCTTACACAGTTTCAAGGATTCAAGCCTCAACTGCGCAGTGGATATGCACATAATTCGTTTTTCTATGCTCACATATAGGATGACATAATGTTAAAGTCTTTTTTATTATTTTCATTTATATATTTAAAGTGTTTCATCCCTTTCCAAAGAAACTTAATTTCTTTCTGTGTTTGCAAAATATACAATTTAAGGTGACTGAGTCGAAATGAAAATGAAAGATAAAAAACATTAAATCATTTACACACAATGACATTTTATCTTGCAGATGTTACTGTCAGATAGCCACGCAGTCGGGGCAGGTTCTCCATGACTTGGGCGGGATCGCATCTTATGACGTCAAAACGATGCCCTGTCACGAGATGCGAGTGAAGTGTAGAAAGGACTGTGACGCCGCCATCCGGAATGCTACGACCACGCCAAGCGAACCCACCGTTCCGCTCAAGGGGTACTACAAGGGTAGAGTATTTGGGATGAAACTTTGCCGAGCATGGGACCAGCCCACCACCAACAAGGGACTAACTCTTATTTCCAAGAGTGAAGTTGACGAGTCTAACTGTGTTAACCACGTCAAAACTCGCTACGGACATTGGAGTGCAAAACTCTGCTGCGGACACCATGAAATAAAAGTGAGCGATCAAATCTTCGTGGCCTTTGTCTGGAAGCCGCTGTGTGACGAGAGCATGATCATGATGTAAATAAATATCGACGGCAAAATTACTACGACTTCATTTAGTGTGACTGAAAGTTCATGACGTCACTAGATGAGACNGATGTGTGACGAGAGCATGATCATGATGTAAATAAATATCGACGGCAAAATTACTACGACTTCATTTAGTGTGACTGAAAGTTCATGACGTCACTAGATGAGACGACAAAATGACGTCAGTCAAGGTTACAATTTTACTCGACAGTTGCAGATAAAGAATTACAAAATGCTTTTAACTATGGTGAACTAATGGAGGTTTACCGTTGTCGAAAAATAGCACTTTTATTTTTTTGTTCTTCACCATCGAATGCCAGAATTGGCGGCGGACTTAACGATTATCCAATTATTTCTACACATTTATTGACCTCGCAAATTTTAGGTAAAAATTCCAACCTTGACAGACATCGTTATTTAACTTGTGGCATTGCAAAATAAACCATGCGTATGCATACATTTGATTGAAGAATATTAAACACAACGTAAATTATGAAATTGACCGGCTTATTGCAGCCCTTAGAATTAGTAGACGAATGCTTGATCTTTGGGTAGTGAATGAGATCTTGTGTATAAAATAGCATTGAAATAATGCTTAAAGGTCAAAATATTAGAAACAGACATGTTGCGATTCGAACGACAATGAAAAGGACAAAACTTCTGAAAACACCATTTCAACAAAATAATATGCTTCTTGGATTAGTTTCGTGAAGTGGTTGTGTTAATATGCTGTTTATATAAGTATTTTGATTTCAAGGTCACTATTTTGTACAAACTATTTTATATTTAAATAATTGTACTTAGCCGCTGGAAAGAAAAAAAAAGATATATGTCTGACTGTCTTTTACTCTGTACTCGTGCAGGCATATATGTATGGGCCGAATGCGTGTGCCTATCTGCTTTATGTTTCAATGTACATAATATGTAATCTCATAAATGTATGAAGTTATGCATTCTAGTCGAACGCATCGCTTCGCGAAGCAAGTCAATGTACATACTTAATGTGTGTAAAAAAGTGTATCTTCAAACAGGTACATATGGTTATTACAGGTGGCTTCAGCGAGTCGTAATGCATGTTATTCAGTTACAGTTTTGAATAGATATCAGATTTTACTTATTGCAGGCAGATAGTTTTTCACTGAATGAAAACAGTAGACTTTTTGCAAAGAGAAAGTGGAATCTGCTCATAAACTGAGGACGTGCCATGGATGTACCAGATGTGAGAGACGACCAAGTGAAATATTCCAGAGAGTCGTAATAAATAACCTTAATGGCTGAATGTTTATTAGATATGAAAGAAGAGCACCAGACAATGTATATTTAGCCACAAGCATCAAAGCTTCTGTTTTAAAACATTCCTTTTGGCTGAAACTATTACTTAAATGTCCTTCAGTTAAGTCACACAGACGGGTTCCTGTATTGATTTACTTCATTTATAAAACAGCTTCACCCTGGATTTCATAGCGCATACCTGCCACAAAACACGGTCTAATAATGAAGACATTAAATATATCTTTAAAAGTGATGGTGTCTTTGTAATGTTCTTTGAAACACAGGGTGAAGGAGTGAATGCCATGACTCACCATTGTAACTGTTAGATAAAAAAAACCTTTTAGACTTCTAATGTGTTACATATAATGATGTACTTTGCTTTGCCATAGCTGGTTTGTGTTGAATAAAAAGCATTTCCAATTTTGTACATGCAGCCGTTGGTTATTTATCAGAGACACTTTTTTATGAAAGCATGGATAAAAATGAAAGTTTGCCATAGAAAAATCAATTTGGGATTTTGGGAGCATTTTGGAGTGGTTGAACCGTTTTGATCCATCTTAGCCCATTTCCATTCTGCTGCTTGCAAACCCATTCTTCTCGCAAGCTTACCTCCCAGCCCACTCACAACTAAATTAGGGATGAACGAACCATTATGATAATAGCCAATATTAAACTGTATTGGCTCAATCCCATTGAAACTCTCATTCCACATAGATTGATCTAACTTCACAGTGACTCTTGCTGATTGCAATCAAATTAAGAGATTAAACTGCCTCCTCATTTCCAACATACTAGTACTCCTATAATCTCCATCTTTTCTGTATGGAGGAGGCTTGCTAAACTGTTCTTCTGATTGCATTCAGCGAGAGTCCCTGCAGAGTCGGGTGGATCTACGTAGAACGCTAGTTTCACTGAGAATGAGCCTAAGGTTACTTGAGTAAACAGTCTCACCGAGTGCCTGCGATGTGCTTCATTTTGTATTCACTTATATTTACCATTAATAAATAATTCTAGCTGTACATAACACAGTTTTAATCAGCAGATTTTATAAAACACCCTAGGTATTTTTCACAAAAGCATCATATTTAAGTCCTTTCTTTAATTCTTTAAATTTGCACTTATAAATTTAAAGGCAGGGAGGCAGTATGATTTCTGGTGAGATACTTTTTCATTGTCTCTTGTGTAATGATGATAAAAAAGTAAAAAGAAACTTTGCTAATGAGACTAAGTGTGTGAAACAAAGGTAGAAAACATAAGTTTTTTTGAAAATGATTTACTTATCATTACAATATCTATTCTTACAAGATGAAGATGGCAACGATGCTTTGTTCCAGGAAACATCTGTACATGATGAAAATATGAGTTTGTACATATATACAGAATATACATGGTGGTCCTCTGACTTAACGAAACTCCTAGTAGCATTTCACTTACATACTTCTTGAAACTGTCATTTGAGTTAGTGCTGTAACAACAATACAGACTAAAATAACAATGCCACAGTACTGATAGACATGCAAATATGGTTATTAACCAGTGATAGAAGGGCATTATCTAGAAAACAACATTTTTTATTATATACTTATCTTAAATTGATTCAAAAATTGAAAAAAGACAAACAGCATTTTTATTGTTTTGGCAGTGAATAAAATTTGACCTTGGCTGTAACTGATCACATTTTTAATTTTATATGCATTTTCTCGACTGCAAAAATTCTTAATGCATCAAACAAGAACATTTTTACTTTTGCAAACAACCACTGAACACATGGCTTCAAAAAGGCACCAAAAATCTGTTACTGGGCATATACATTAACATATATGTAATACATATAGATTCTAGTATGTCAAAAGTAGCACCATTCCTAAAACTGCATTTAAGCAAGAAAGAAAAAGAAAGAAAAAACTTGTACAACTTTATCAGATAAAATGAACTGCAGCAAGCTTCCTAGAAATGTGTACACTATTGAAAATATATTGAATAAGTTTCAGGTTGAATAACATGGAAAAATATGTGGAAAAATTACAAACTAAACTTGATGGCCATAAAACAATAATCCCCAAATGCATAAATGTAACATTTTATCAGCATATAATGTTGGAACTGAGTAGAGGAGCTTTTGGGGGTGAAGACCAACATATTAAGTATAGAAAAAAGACACACCATTTATGTTTTGTCAAAATATTAGCCAAAACAGCATTTCTCAATGTAAATAAGAAACTTTATGATTTACATGCAGCCTTTAACTTCCTTTAATGAAAGGCTTTCTCAATAATATTCCTGCATCTGTTTTGGACTTATTTCTGATATCAATTCTCAAGACAGTTCCAAGTCAATAAAATCAACTACTGAGCATTAGTACCTATCAGTAAGTAAAGCATGGCCTAAATATATAAATCGGTTTTGGATAAACAGGGCTGAGAATCTTCAGGCCCGTGGGGACGCAGCTTGAAGTAAACTAGTGTTAGCTGCCTTGGCTGTGCAGAGTCTATGATCCCTATTTCAGGATAATGAAGTTAAGTTTCCTCGAAGTCAGTCAAAAAGCAATATGCTTCCATGCTTCCATCATGCAAACCTTCACAACATCAAAGTTGTGATATACTTCAAAGAATATGAACTGTCAGTCTACCTCTGTCGATGCTTGAGTGAAAGTGCACCCAGTCTGCTTACTAACCCAATCACTCTGACTGATCATGTTCAAGTGTATTTGACCCCAAAGGGTTTGCAAAACACTCCACAAAGAAATGTCAGTCAAGAGATTTGTCAAAGCAACTGCCAAATATGCAAAGGCATATGTCTCAGTCACAGTCCCCACATCTGTTTTTCCTCCAGGTCTTACCTGAAGTAAAGAAATCAACTTGTGCACTAGTCATCCTTTTCATACCCCAGGTCCTCCAACTCCGTGAACTGCTGCATGTGGAATTTTGTCACTTGGTAATTCACCATGATTCTTATGGCAAAGTACCCGCACACACCCTCAAACAAGATGAAGACAAACATCACAATGTGCATGGCCCTCTCCAGAGGTAACAAGACGGCTGCTTCATTGAACAGCAGGAACATGATCAGTGGAAGTTGTAGGAGTAAAGTCAACAGCCAGAAGCCAGCAAGTTCTGGAACCTGGTAATAGAATATTGTACAATTGTGGGGCATTAAATCGATAAGTAATTTTATTAACGCTAAATCTTGTATGGCTTGAATGTTCTATAATACTGACAGGGCCGTAGCCTCCGGGGGGGCAGGGGGGCAGCTGCCCCCCCTGGAATTTGGAATTTTACACCCCCCCCCCCCCCCCCTCGGTAGCTTCGCCCCCNTCCTCCAGGTCTTACCTGAAGTAAAGAAATCAACTTGTGCACTAGTCATCCTTTTCATACCCCAGGTCCTCCAACTCCGTGAACTGCTGCATGTGGAATTTTGTCACTTGGTAGTTCACCATGATTCTTATGGCAAAGTACCCGCACACACCCTCAAACAAGATAAAGACAAACATCACAATGTGCATGGCCCTCTCCAGAGGTAACAAGACGGCTGCTTCATTGAACAGCAGGAACATGATCAGTGGAAGTTGTAGGAGTAAAGTCAACAGCCAGAAGCCAGCAAGTTCTGGAACCTGGTAATAGAATATTGTACAATTGTGGGGCATTAAATCGATAAGTAATTTTATTAACGCTAAATCTTGTATGGCTTGAATGTTCTATAATACTGACAGGGCCGTAGCCTCCGGGGGGGCAGGGGGGGCAGCTGCCCCCCCTGGAATTTGGAATTTTACACACCACACCCTCCCCCCTCGGTAGCTTCGCCCCCTCGTGTCCGCTTACTGCCCCCCCTGGCATTTTGCTCAGGCTACGGCCCTGACTGAGATTTTCTTTTTCACAGGTCAAGATCAGAGGCTGTATACCCTAGAACTGAACCACTCTATCCAATGTAACCAAACAGCCTTCAACTAAAATACAATTTTATTAATTAATGTTAACTGGTCTAACAAACTCATAGTCATTCTTGCTAAGAATAGCAATAGGTCACCCTTTAAAAACCATTGATAATATTTACTAGAATATATTTTTCAAGGGAAAATGTAAGCAATTAATAATATGAGTTGTTATCAATGTTTGATTCTTTTCTACTAGTGCTCACTTCACAGTCTAACACAATTACGTGTTTATTCAAATGATTAAATGAAACCGCATACTGTAATCCCTACATAAGCCATGCTTTAGTGAAGCTCTGAGTTTCCAGGAGAGGCTTCTCACAGTTATCTTGCCACGCCGCTCAGCGAGGAAGAATAATTGAGATCGATATGCTACGTTAACAACAGAGTCATAACAATTTCATTATAATGATGCCTGCTGGACAAGAGGCCTCCATACACCATGTATCAGCTATAGTTATACACAGGGGAATAAAACATGTAGCCAGACCAGTCAAACATATAAAAACATATGGACCATCAATAGCTGTAAGACCATTATTGGAAAATGCTGGTGGGGCCAATTCTCCTGTCTAATTGAAAGTCCATCCTGGGAATTACCTGACAGGAAAGGTGTGACGTCAGAGAGGCTTTTTTAGAAGCCTAGAGACATTTTAATTGGGGTTTTCTTTGAGATCCGAGTTGCAAGGTGAAATGCATCAATGGATGCCTTAAAACAACATCTGTGAAGGATGCATTAACAAATCACTATCTAGATGCCACCATATGACATTTTAAAAAATAACTACAAAAACACTTTTACTGGATAATTTTTATTCAGTATCTTAGATTTTCAGAAAAGGATACATCAAACATGAAGACAGTGCCAAGAAAATACCATAAAATCTGCTAGCTTTGATTCACAAAGTACACCACCAGAGTCACCTGAGTAATTTTCTTTAGTGACTACATTGCAAATATTGTTTAAAGGGATTGTATACTAGATATATATAGTTAACGATAGTTTTTAATTTTGGTGGCTCCAAGGCTTCTAAAAACTAATTTTTGACTGTGAAAAACTTGATCAAACTTTTTGAAGTTGTTTTTTAAACCATAGCTGACAGAGAATGTCATGTTGCTTAAGCAAAATTAAATGTGAAGACCTTGGAAGAGATGGCTGCAGTATTTCGGGAATCCATGGTCTATGAATATTATATTAATTGTAGATAATGACTGGAAAATTATTTTTCTCGTGTTTTTTTCATGCCAAAATGCCATATATATGCCTCCTATTATGATTTTTCTATATTTTAAAAACTACCTTATTTGCCTATATGTATCAGTATAAACAAAGGATACTCATTCCCAAGATATTTCTAATGAAATTATAGTGCCTCTACATATCATTATGAAGACATATTTAGATATATCCAAGTAATCAGAAATCTTGCCAAAAGCAAGCAAAAGGTCTCTCTAATGTAGAAAATGCCTCTAATAAAAAACAAGGCAGCAAAGCTGTCAAATGTACAGACAAAAAACAGGAAATAACTATGCACAAAATAGACTACTGTCAATTCTGATGCAAAAGTACATTATGTTAAACTGCAAATTCAACATCAAATTTTAATTATGCTCAACAGGTAATACCAATGTAAGTAAATTGTGTAACAAGTTCACACTGTGAAAATGTATAACTTCCAGAAAAAGAACCAATTAGACTGCTTTTCCAACTCAGGCTGCATTTTAGTCCTGTATTTCTTTTTTGAAAGTTTGGCAATCATAAGTAACATGGTTTTCCCATAATGGTCATCATGGCAGCAGCACCCAAAATTGCGTTTTCTTCTATTCTGATGCCATATTACATAATGGTTAACAGCATAATGACCGTCAATTTTTAATAATAAAATATACGNCGCCGGCATCGGTATCGGCATCGCCATCGGCATCGGCATCGCCATCGGCGACGACAGACGCAGGTGATGGCAATATGTACAGACACATCTGTGTCTGTACATAAAAATACATGAAAACATCAATCAAAGAGGTCAAGCAGGAATTGCCTTGTTGCATGCTAAACCTACATCAGTTCAAATTAAACACTCTGTAAGATTAGAAATAGTGCCCATATTAATTTTTATTTCCCGTTTAATCATTTTACTTGTCCATACAGCCATCTCTCTCTCTCTATATATATATATCTATGATATCATTTGCCACTCGAAAAAAAAAAAAGAGATGCTATGTGGAACATTGGCCATAGATCAACCCATACATTAATCTGCACTTCACCTCTCTGTAGAGTCTTCCACAAGACTGCATTACAATATGCTATAAAACCATCATAACATATTCTAATCTTACCCTCTACCAGGGTGAGTGATAGATTTTTTACAGATATTCACAGATGTGGCTCTAGCTAGATAGATGGTCGTTTTCAGCTAAACCCACCCTGTTGAGGAATCCCATGTGGGAGCAATTATCTCTGCCCGCGCGCCAAAGGCTTTGTACTTGCTCTGCATGACCTTCGCTTCACAACCATGTGATAACTGCTCGTTACGCAACCAGTCTAAGGCTTTTTTATCTGTCACAGAAGAGCAAGTGATTGAAGTCAGAGTAATTAACTGTCTTGATTGCTGTCACGCAGACTTAGACTGGACCTGCTAAGTGGCAGTGCCTGAGCAGTTATGCAAACGATTATCAGCCATGTTATCAGCCTTGAGAGGGTGAGTTCAGCTGTAAATGACTATCTATCTAGCTAGAGACATATCTGTGAATATCTGTAAAAAAATCTATCACTCGCCCTGGTAGAGGGTATTCTAATCTGGTTCGCCCGCAAAATATTACTCTGCTAAAATAAGAGCTCTTGGGTCCTCAGATCAACAAACATGAAGACTTCACTATAAAGTTCCTCCTTATAAAACAACTGAATCTTCACAGGCCTATGGCCAACAATTGAAATGAGGGGGTTCTTTTTTGGAAAAAGTGGACCTTTGACCATGAAATCTTCATGATTCTAAATCAAAATTAGCCCAGAGCAGACCTTTTCCCAGCAAAAGGGTGGTTCATTGGACCTCCCCCCCCCCCTCCCCCTCTTTAAAATACTGCTTGACACTGGTTACAAACCTTCTCTGTCAAGTTTCCTACATATCCCAGGTAGAGGCGGATGGCTTCCACAATGGTCATCACAACCAGCACCGCTATCAGGATAATCTGGTACAAGGTGTCCAAGGCTAAGTACTGGTATGATTTGGAAAAAAAAAAAAACAAACAAATTTTAAATTGAGGAGGCTTCCTCATATTTCACAAACACCATTTCTACCATAGCGATTTTGATACAAATGGTAAGACAAAATCTACTCACCATATGAGTAAAAAATATGAAAAAAAAAATTGGTGATAATCCAGCTTGCTTTCAGGAGGTAGTGTCCCACTTCAATCAAAATAACAACAATTTAACAAAGCTTTCATTAAAGGATGAATTACATATTTATTACATGTTACATTTTGAACATTAGTCCCTGTCGTAAGAAAGTACTCAAGCTAATATGAAAGAGCCTGCTAAAAGCAGATGAAGACTTTTATATCAATCAACATGAAAAACTGGTTTGTTTGTGTTTGGAATGTTAGGCCAGGTTCAAATAAGGAAATTTACATTTGAAACATTGTTTCTAGATGGATACAAAACTAATTCTAATGGTACTACCATCTAATGGTCACATGTTGCTGTCAACGGAGGCTCCACTTCAAATGCCATTTAAATTGCACATGCAGTTTAGGAGTAATGACAAAATTATCCTTGTTGAAAATTGCTATGTTAACCAATTTTGTGTGACATCTGTTGGCTTTCTTTCACAAGGAAAAAATAAGAGATGAAAACCATACAAGGCCCCAAAATGTGTTGTGTTAATCTTATTTTGAACCAAAATGTCACATTTCTAAACCCGACCAGTAGTGTGTATTCATGTAATTTGACAAGACTGTAATGGAATTTGTTCTTGACCTTTAATAACATGGCCACTCAGATACCCCTAGTAAACACCATCATCGCCATGTTCTTAAATATTCAATAAAGCTTTTCCAAGTTGCCTCAGATATTAATAGAGGAAATCCATCTTGGTCTCTGTGCTTAAACTATAGCCTAAGTACTCAAAATGAGACCTGATCAGATCAATATCTGTAATGTGCTGAGCTGAAGATTTAAAGAACAGATCGGTTGGGTTTATGTCATCAGAATAGCATTCAAACCAGGTCAAACAAACAAACAAAAATATTCTCCTAACTTCAGGAGGTACACTAAAGGAATGGCAGCTCCCTGCTTTGTACATTAGTCTTTATGAACCTATATGTACACACCACAACTAGTGCGGACTGATTAACTTAAAGGTACATTACACTTATTTGGTTAGTCTAAGAACAGTTATGAATGCAACCCAGGCCCATAGCAATTTCAAAGGAAGGGGAGGAAGGGGATGAGGGATGGTTCATTTCCTGGAAAATTAGACCTTCCACCATGAAATCTTCATGTGCCAGAATCAATTTCACCATGAGCAGACCTTTTCCTGGCAAAAAGGGCAGTTTGTTCGGACAACAGGCCTCCAGCCCAAGTCATCACCCCTGATACACTGTGCCATTATTGTGTATTAGATTATGCCCCAAGAACACCGAAAAACCTATACCTAGGAACAATATACACACCTTTATTCTATTCCTTCAGAATATTTGATGTTATATCATTTAAATGGTTCAGCTATCATTAAAAAATAAGACACATTTTTGCTTGAGACCATTTTCCAGTTGCCACTGTAAGTTCCATTTGAAAATCTTGTCTAAAAATCAAGATACCTTTCTTCAAATCAGAAAATACCATTATCCTATTTCAGAATCACTACAATTCAAAAAAAAATAGAGAAGACTTAAAACAACAGCTAGTTGATGTTATTTTAGATCATAGAAGAAAACTTTAAAAAATCAACAACAGTTCATGCACTGTTGAATTCTTCGACAGCTTGTCATGCAGCAACCTTGATGTATGTGCTCATTAGGGTTTCCCAGTAAGGGTATTCAATAGAAATGGATAACACTGGATTATAATCAATATTTCAAAGACCTTAAGCTGCATGCACATTATGTTAGCAAATGGACTGAAATAGCAAGTTTTCTCAGTGGACATGTATGATGTGTGTACACATTTCCACCTAATTAACTAGTATCATAATCAACTATTAATTTGCAGCTACACCAGTTTAACATTTTGTGTAGGCTAATCAATCAGATTAAACATTTCCATCCTCCTATTTATTTGACTACTCTGCATCAAAATATTCTTGTACAATGGAAGATGTCTACAACAAAATACTAAAACAAAATACAAAATTATTTATGATCATGACTAAGTATGCAAAAACAATAATAACATTATTTTAACTATGTATCAGATGGGCATGAGTGTTTATGCTCAGGTCTAAGTTATGGTTCAGAATAATTAAAATGAATGAATAAATGAACAAGTGAGCAGGTAAACAAAGGAAGTTAGTTATGACATATAATGTAATTACCAGTAATTATTATCCATTTTAAAATATCAAATTTTCCTAAATTTGGTATTCTCACGTGCGCTTTTTCTCTTCACTTTAATCACTCTCTTATAGTGCATATACAATCCAACTCAAAGTGACAAGAATAAATATTATCACTTTTGTGTATTAAATGACAAAAAAGCTCATTCCAAACAAATGTCATATATTATAACTTTGGGTGTCAAAGGATGTGCCAGTGCTTACCTTGGCCTCCAGCATGACAACAGCAGTGACCAGCCAGATGGGATAATAAAACACATTGAAGTATAGAGACATCTGCAGTGGGAGGTTGGACATATATTCATTACCTGTTAAAAAATAATGTTGATAATTTGTGTCCTGACATTTTTATGTTGTTTAAGGGATGTCATTACCTTTTTTATAACACAACTTTATAAATTTATCTATCCTCTGTCATTCATTCACTTATTTTTCTATCCTCATTATTTTTTTTCTTCTCTTTAGAAATATAATTATCTACCTCAAGAAGAAAATAATATTATAATTAACAAAAATCTAAAATTCTTTGCACATATCAGTTGACATGTCTGCATTTCTCTTCAGTGGCAAACTTTGACTGTTTCTTATCTTGGCATTAAATGTAAAAAAAAAAATACTTTGAAAATTTCTTGATAAATATTAATTATTGACAACTGACAGAAGTTTTAATTTTCAGTTAAATTTATCTCAGGTGTCAACAAGTTCCATTCTATGATACGGATGTATGTTATGAAAAACAATATAACACCATGCAAAAAAGTGTTATATAAAATCCCACTTGTACTCAGCACAGTGAACCACTGAAGGTTTGCAGATTTCAAGCATAAAAAATTCACCAACATATGACAGTACTAGTAATGTGTTAGAGAAGCAAACTGATTGACCGGATAAAACAAACCAACCAACGCTCAATAAGAAAAGTTGCATGGACTATATACTGCGACCACAACTCAATAAATAATCATAAATAAAATATCATGAGGATATCTTCAAATTATCAAATAATTTGTTTGAAAACAACCTTCTACCGAACCATTTCCATTAGGCATTACTTAAGTCAACGTAAAGAGAGTTGTTTGATAACAAATAAGGGTCCATTTCAAACCGCTTTAGACACACTGTGCTTGTTTACCTGAGTTCAATATATGATGTTGCTGGCCATCTTTTGAAGCTCTGGAAACGGGAAAAACAACATCAGTCACTTGTGTGACGGCCCTTCTCATGGTTGCCGCCATGTTGCTGGTGTCACGTGATGTAAACATTTACGACAACCTTTGTTTCGGGATGTTTCAGATCATTATTGACACCAAAAGATGCTTATTTGTAAAAATATTATTCCCTTTTATTGCAGACAAACATAATCTATAATGCATTAACTCTGCTTCATTACGCTGTCGTTGCTTTCGTAGAATACTCTCGCGAGATCTCGTGGTTATCGAGATCTTACAACGCTCCACATTCGAACTTGTGAATATCTGTCTATCTTTGTTATTATTATGTTTTTGCATTCATAAAAGCTTTAAAATACAGTAAGTATTACGTTATCGGATTAATACTCGAAATTGTTATTCGATTTAGATGCTTGGCTTTTCAAAAAGTTTGGAAATTTCAAAAAGATTCCAAAATCTACACCTCTAAATCTAAAAATACAACTTTTTTCCAGGTAGATCTAAGTAGCATTCTTATTGAGAACCTTGGAACAAATCTTTAGTATACATATATAATAGATTCACGAACTATTAAGACGTTCCTCTAGAGACAGAAACTGATGCTTAAATGAAGATAAATTATGTGTACTCTATTTCTAAACACCGATTGAATCTCTAAAATTGTTTTTCTGAATTTATTTTTATTACAGTGTATCAAGAAGTATAAAGGATAACCATAACGATGTTCTCCCAAACATCAGCATGTGTTGATAAGGAAAATATTACAGCTGCTGAAGTAAGTTTTAAAACAGTAATGTATCTTGGTAAATATGTACTATAGTACTTGTAATACTATAGCTTGATGTTCTGTTACATGACATTCTTTGTCGTGTGGAAATCAAAATGACATGCTTTTAAATAAAGATTAAATGGTCACTTTTTATTGTTGTAATAATTATTTTTTACTTATATCTAAAGTAATACCCTTGAATAATTGTTATATCAATAAATAAGTATTGTACTTTTAAAATTTCTCTAAAATGTAACTGTTACGTAATAATTCTAAAAAAAAATTGATAAAAATAAGCTGAAAAGTTTATGGCACAGACTTCTTCAGAGACATAATAATATAATTCGTCATATTTTATCCAGGCTGTTCAAACCAAAAATATCTTTGAAACACCATCACGAACACCTTTGCATGATGTAAATGGTTCTACTGCTGAAAGAAGATACTTGACTTTAAAGGGCTCTTTCACCCCATGCAGCAAGGCACAAACCCCTAGCATAGCACCAGGGAAAACTGCTAAAACTCCAGTAAGATCCCTAAAAAGGTTAGTTATGTACATCAGTATATTTTTGACAGGTACTGGAAATTATCTGATTTTTTGAAACCCTTTATAATTTTTTGTCAGCCTTTATAATTGTCTACTTGTTTAAAATGCGTGAAAATTTTTTAGAGCTAAAACATTTTATGTAAAATGTTCTTACATTTATTCAGGCCTACCAAAGTAACATTTGATGTTAGCGCTGACATTCAAGCTACATTGACACCTCAGCTTGCACCAGAATCAAAATCAGACTTGCCTGAGTTGACAGATACAGGGACCATGATGACACCAAAAAAGGAAGAAAATGAGGTCAAATCAACTGAAGGTAACACCAGTGTTCCAGTAGCCATGGCAACTACTTCCACCATGGTAACCCCAGTCAAGACTGCTGAAACAGGACAGATGGTGTCCCCTGTTGCCATGAAAACAACTTCTACCACTGTCACGCCAGTCAAGACTGTTGAACAAGAGCAGATGATGTCACCTGTTACCATGGGAACAACTGCCACCATGGTTACCCCAGTCAAGACTACTGAAACAGGACAGATGACATCCCATGTTGCCATTGAAAATACTGCAACCATGACGACTCCTATCAGCTTGAGAGATGCTGGAGGAATGACCAGTCCAGTCAAGACACATGACCAGGGTCAAGCTATGAGTCCCATGCCATCTCTCCTGGAAGCTNGACTATATACTGCGACCACAACTCAATAAATAATCATAAATAAAATATCATGAGGATATCTTCAAATTATCAAATAATTTGTTTGAAAACAACCTTCTACCGAACCATTTCCATTAGGCATTACTTAAGTCAACGTAAAGAGAGTTGTTTGATAACAAATAAGGGTCCATTTCAAACCGCTTTAGACACACTGTGCTTGTTTACCTGAGTTCAATATATGATGTTGCTGGCCATCTTTTGAAGCTCTGGAAACGGGAAAAACAACATCAGTCACTTGTGTGACGGCCCTTCTCATGGTTGCCGCCATGTTGCTGGTGTCACGTGATGTAAACATTTACGACAGCCTTTGTTTCGGGATGTTTCAGATCATTATTGACACCAAAAGATGCTTATTTGTAAAAATATTATTCCCTTTTATTGCAGACAAACATAATCTATAATGCATTAACTCTGCTTCATTACGCTGTCGTTGCTTTCGTAGAATACTCTCGCGAGATCTCGTGGTTATCGAGATCTTACAACGCTCCACATTCGAACTTGTGAATATCTGTCTATCTTTGTTATTATTATGTTTTTGCATTCATAAAAGCTTTAAAATACAGTAAGTATTACGTTATCGGATTAATACTCGAAATTGTTATTCGATTTAGATGCTTGGCTTTTCAAAAAGTTTGGAAATTTCAAAAAGATTCCAAAATCTACACCTCTAAATCTAAAAATACAACTTTTTTCCAGGTAGATCTAAGTAGCATTCTTATTGAGAACCTTGGAACAAATCTTTAGTATACATATATAATAGATTCACGAACTATTAAGACGTTCCTCTAGAGACAGAAACTGATGCTTAAATGAAGATAAATTATGTGTACTCTATTTCTAAACACCGATTGAATCTCTAAAATTGTTTTTCTGAATTTATTTTTATTACAGTGTATCAAGAAGTATAAAGGATAACCATAACGATGTTCTCCCAAACATCAGCATGTGTTGATAAGGAAAATATTACAGCTGCTGAAGTAAGTTTTAAAACAGTAATGTATCTTGGTAAATATGTACTATAGTACTTGTAATACTATAGCTTGATGTTCTGTTACATGACATTCTTTGTCGTGTGGAAATCAAAATGACATGCTTTTAAATAAAGATTAAATGGTCACTTTTTATTGTTGTAATAATTATTTTTTACTTATATCTAAAGTAATACCCTTGAATAATTGTTATATCAATAAATAAGTATTGTACTTTTAAAATTTCTCTAAAATGTAACTGTTACGTAATAATTCTAAAAAAAAATTGATAAAAATAAGCTGAAAAGTTTATGGCACAGACTTCTTCAGAGACATAATAATATAATTCGTCATATTTTATCCAGGCTGTTCAAACCAAAAATATCTTTGAAACACCTTCACGAACACCTTTGCATGATGTAAATGGTTCTACTGCTGAAAGAAGATACTTGACTTTAAAGGGCTCTTTCACCCCATGCAGCAAGGCACAAACCCCTAGCATAGCACCAGGGAAAACTGCTAAAACTCCAGTAAGATCCCTAAAAAGGTTAGTTATGTACATCAGTATATTTTTGACAGGTACTGGAAATTATCTGATTTTTTGAAACCCTTTATAATTTTTTGTCAGCCTTTATAATTGTCTACTTGTTTAAAATGCGTGAAAATTTTTTAGAGCTAAAACATTTTATGTAAAATGTTCTTACATTTATTCAGGCCTACCAAAGTAACATTTGATGTTAGCGCTGACATTCAAGCTACATTGACACCTCAGCTTGCACCAGAATCAAAATCAGACTTGCCTGAGTTGACAGATACAGGGACCATGATGACACCAAAAAAGGAAGAAAATGAGGTCAAATCAACTGAAGGTAACACCAGTGTTCCAGTAGCCATGGCAACTACTTCCACCATGGTAACCCCAGTCAAGACTGCTGAAACAGGACAGATGGTGTCCCCTGTTGCCATGAAAACAACTTCTACCACTGTCACGCCAGTCAAGACTGTTGAACAAGAGCAGATGATGTCACCTGTTACCATGGGAACAACTGCCACCATGGTTACCCCAGTCAAGACTACTGAAACAGGACAGATGACATCCCATGTTGCCATTGAAAATACTGCAACCATGACGACTCCTATCAGCTTGAGAGATGCTGGAGGAATGACCAGTCCAGTCAAGACACATGACCAGGGTCAAGCTATGAGTCCCATGCCATCTCTCCTGGAAGCTGGAACAACGGTCACTCCAGTTAAATATGAAAGCACTGGACAGGCGACCAGTCCAGTATCCATGTCAACCACAGAGACAGCAATGACACCACCGCCAGTCAGAGTGAGCACTGGGACAGTAACGTCTCCAGTCCAGGTACCATTTGGCAGGTGAGGTTTAAGCCCTATAGTTGTACATGAATGCATTACTACTGCCTCAAAGATTACTGGAATAGAAACTGCTAAATGTGTTAAGTGTGTGTTTGTGTGTGTGTTTCATGCGTTGAAGATGTGAATACAAACTGGTTTGCTAAGCAAAAGGCACATGATTTAATTATATATCCTTGGTGAATCTTCCTTTGCACAGACCAATGACTGTGATACATTAATGAGGTATGATGAGCGTTAGTCCCACCCCATGAGTTTATAGTAAGTTTTTCATTCTTCCAGGTTCTCTGAGATAGCAGAGGTCAGTCACCTGGATCCTGTGAATTTGGCCCATCAGCTGGAGAGTGCAGGTATAAGTAATGAACTGCTGCGGGGTGAGATAACCTCCTTGAGAGACCACTGTGAACAGAGAGCTAGGCAGCTAGATCAGCTCAAAGAAGACCTGGCCACCAAGGAAGTGTCTTTGGAAGAATACAAGGAAAAGATCCTTCATGTAGAGTTGGAGGCCAAGGTATTAATAGGTTTGACATAGTAACTGGTCCTCTGTGTTAAGAGACCGCTACTTTATCTGTCTGATTGTTAATATAATGGCAAAACGGGTTTGTTGAAAGGATGCTGTCAAACACATACTAGTAATCAAGTTTCAGCAGCTAAGTCGGTTGTTATAAATTAACCTAATCAGGTATTTTCTGTTTTGGCAGGCATCGGGACAAGAAGTTGTTGCTGACTTGATGACACAGCTCGGACAGCAGATGTCCCAAATTGCTGATCTTGAATCTAAATTAAAGAGTAAAGATCAGGTAATCATTCAAATGAAAGAGGCACATGACACAGGCTTAAGAGAGCTGCAAGAACGACAACAGAAAACTGTTGAGATGCTGCAGCAGAAGAATCAAAACTTGCAAGACGACCTTTGTACAGCTTACAAACAACACAAGAAAGAGGTGTGTATATATGAAAATTGCTGCATCTATTTGATTTGTATTTTGCATACAGGCAGTAAGCAAGAACATTCCTTAACTAGTGCAGTCAGATTCTATTACAAATTGTAATGTTTTTGCTTACCAGTGGATTTCAAAGAGATTTTTAAAATTGTTTACAAGCAGATGGTTGTGTATTTAATGATGAAGGCATGCATTTATCTTGTTTGAATAACTGAAAATCTACCAGTATCATGAAAACTGTTCTTGGTCATTTACAGTTGGCAGCACTCAAAGAAGAGCACTCCAGATTTGACTACAAATCTCTCTACCATAAAGCTCAGCAAACCATTGCAGAGCTGGAAGCTGAGCTTGAAGTGTATTCCTCACTGAAGGACGCCATTGAAGAATATGAGAGGCAGCAGGTAAGACTTGTTTCCAAATACAAATAACTTGGCTTAGATATGTATATGCTGGTATGTAACTATGTTTTTTTTTCCTTTTTTAATACAAGACAACACTCATTATCTCTCTCTCTCTCTCTCTCTCTCTCTCTCTCCCTCTCTCTTACACACACACACACACACACACACACTTTTATTATATATTAACTAACTTCCACATCTAGAAGTACATCTACTTAATAATTTCTACTAATATTTGCACATAGTGCAAGGCTCAGGGAAGTGAGGGATTTGGTCATTGCTTTAACTACTACTGTTGTTTTCTTTGTCTTCTATCAGGAAGCAGTTACAAAGGCAGTTCAGGAATCCCACAGTAATGTGATTAAAATGTTTGAAAAGGTGCAGGAACAAAAAGAAATGTGGGCTACAGAGGTGAGATTTGCCTGAAAAATTCATATTATTAATTTATTTATTCATTTGCTTTGTTATTTTTTCTTTTCCATATTTTATTTGGTATTGAAAGTTGCTTGACAATGATCAGATGACAGTTTTTTTGGAAATTACTCTCTGCCTCTCCTTGTGTCCCAATTTTAGACAAAGCCAAGATAAGACCACAGACATAGAAATACAGGCCTCTAGGGAAGTTGAATAAACTTGTTAACAGGTTTTTCTATGTCATTCTTTCATGGTAACCTGATACAACCGCATGTACATCAAGTCTAATGAGTTTTAATTAAGCTTAAGGACATGATTGTGGGAGGTGGTGACATCTAAAATATTTAGTACATAATCTGTGAATCTGATGGAAAAGAGTTCTTAAGCCTTATTGTTTTACTTTTTTGTACTTAAGCATACAAACTGGCAGGCAAAAATGAATGAAAATGACATCAGAACTCAAGCAGCTGTGGAGACAAGTGAACAAGCTAGAAAGCAAATGGAAGATTTTCAGCAACGGGCGGATGAAGCCATCAAAGAGTTGAATAAGGTATTTGCTGTCAGTAATGATTTTGTTAAGCACTAATCAATTAACATTATAAATTATTTTAATCAATACCGTTGTTGCTTTGAAATTCACTTGAGATGCAGAATATGCTATTAGTGAGCACAATACTGTTTAATGTCAAAGTTATTTTAAATTATATTTTGTATAAATAATTAAATATACAAAATATACAAAATTATATTTTGTATATTTAATTATTTATGTACTTGAGATGAAATATTGATGCAGGTGATCAGGTTTTTATTCAGTTCAGTACCTCATGGCTTTAAAACTTCTGTTTTAAGATGAAGGAAATTCACAGAGTTGATGCAGAAGAATTGCTCAGTGCAACAGAACAAATAACTGAATTGACTGCACAGCTGAATTACCTTAATATGGGTGAGTCTTGAATCTGTAGCTTCATTTATGTTGAAATACCACCAGCTCACTTTGTCATTAAGCATGTTAGGTTTCTTTAAGTTTGAACCTGCATAACTAACAGTTAAACAGTATGGAATGTATCAGGAAAAAATGAGGTAATGGTTTACAAATTATTCAGTCATGTAAATTCTGATATATGCAAAATATGTACTTCCCTGGCATAGCAATTGACATTGAACTTGTGAATTCCCTGAAACTGGCTGTTTAGACTATTAAATTCTATCCCCAGAAAACCATAAGTTAACAAAACAAGTAGGGGACTACGAGGTGAAACAGGTGGAGCATTTCCAAGAGGTTATTACCCTAGAAGCAGCTCAGAAAGTTATGGAGAGAGAACTGATGAAAGAGAAGGAAATGTGAGTGTGAAGAGCAGGGTTTGTCTGCTTATACTGTAATCTCCTGTTTTCCTTTTATGTATGTTATTACCGTAATTAAAAAGAAATGAAATCACATGTAGTTGTGGTTTTGTAAAACCCTGAAAATGATGTCATTGTTCAGAGAATGACAGACCTTTTTCAAATGACTATTATTATTATTATTTGAGCAATAATGACCATTGTAGCTTTTGCAATTCTAAAGTCATTTTTATTAGTTTGTCGCTATTTACAGAGGAACAAAAACTGCAGAAAGATTGAAGGATTTGAATCATCATTTAGAAGAGGAATTCAAGAGGTTAGCTAAATTCTTACAGATGTAGGATGCTTACATTTTAAAGAAAGTTTCACTCTTTCTGTCAATTTTACAGTAAGGCAAAAAAAAAACAACAACTTATAAATTCACCCTCATTACTGGATTGAATTGATATTTTTCTTGCAGTATTTAAAATGCCAGTCCATTGTATTTGACAATTTTGACTGATTAGCCTGAATTTCTTCATAGATTCGACCTTGAAGTGCTGAATCTACAGAGGACTTTGGACTACCGAGAGCAGGATGTGGAGAGACTAGAACAACAGCTGTCAGAATTACAGGTGACCCTACAGGCTAGGGAAGAGCTGGTGGACAAACTGAAAGCTGCTGTTCATGCACAGAGACTGGAGCTGGAGGCCAACTGCAGTGTGAAGCGAGAGCTGATTGAAGTGAAGGAACAACTGGAGGTTAGTGAAGGGAGGCAGGGCACATATTTCATGCTGCCATAGGTTGCTTCTCTGTGTTAGAAATCCTTTTTGCATTGATTAGTGAAGTGGGGGG